ATTTCCTCTACTTTACTTCTTGTATCTATCCACACCTTCGTCCGAAGCCCTTGTTTGGCTGCCAAGATACCTTCCCGCACCGGTGGCTTCCTCCGTCTCCCGCCTGAGCTTCATCAAAACAGGAATAGGGGCATGTACGTCGTCCATCACGCACGCATATCCCTACCTTCTCCTTTCACCCTCGTCCTATCACGGTCCATTGCAAGCTCCTTGCTCGTTTTTCCACTCTCTTTCCTAGTGCCCGCTCGCCGCGTTCCTCAACAAGGGCACCAAGGCAATAAAAAGAAGAAAAAGAAATACCAAAACAAGAGCAGCTGGTTGAGCCATCCAGCCTTACACGCGCGTTCTTCTGTCTTCTGTTTTTTGTCTGGTGTTTTCAGTCTTTCTAGGAATCCTGTTTCGGAAGACGACTTTGCGCTAGACGGGGAGAGCCACGCTCACTCGGACGCCTTTTTTTCACGCACCCCGAAGCAGGAACACAGAAACAACTGTGAAAAGAACCGACCAAGAACCAGACCTAAAATCACACCAGAAATCAGACCAAAACATCTGCATAAATACAGATGGGCAGGGCTGTCATCACATGTCTCGACCAACCAGAGCCCTTCATCACCATAATCCAACAGCTGCAAATTTTGATTCTTGGGCCCTCGCCATTTTTTGATTTGCTTTATTTCCCGCCCTTCCGTCTCCAGATTGCGTCTGCCTTGCCCACGTCCCTCTGGCATACCATCTACCAAGTCTGTCGTACCCTGAAGTGCACAATCCTCCTAAAATAACGAGTCGCTGGTCGGCTTTGTCTGCACCCCTTTCTTCCTTTCTTTTTTGTACCACACCCCTTTCCATACGCCCCCTTCTTACAACACGCTCGACATCCGTCGTGGCGCCCCCACCTGTCTCCATTTGCCTCCTCCACTTCAACGGCTGCCTCACCTATTTGATATCAATCTCTCAACAAACATCTTCTCCGGGATCTTTGCATCTGGCTACACCTTGGGCGAAGAAGCGAAGAACTGGCCTCATCCAAGATAAAAGAATAACAGCCCCCTTTCGCTTGCCACCCGCACCACTTCTATCCGTTCCCCATCTCCTCTCTCGACATCAGCAGCATCATACAGGCACCAACGGCCTCACGTATTCCGTCGCGATCCTCGACATCACACGACACGTGTACACCTACACATCGTCCCTTCACAATGGACGGTCGTGAGTCCCCCCCCTTTCCTTCTTCGTCGCAGTATCTCTCCCTCCCCGAGATACAGCCCTAATACTGTTATTTTTTGTGCAATCGCTCCAGTCAACGAGTACCGCCGCGCCCGCGTCGCCGAGCTCTTGGCCGACTTCACCAACCTCCAGTTCTTTATTGCCGCTGCGCCCGTCGACCCGCCCAGCCAGGAGGACTACTACACCGAGGGCTGGCGCGCCCTCCGCCAGTGCGCCGTCGACGGCCAGCACATTTTGAACACGGGCGCCGACACGCACGTCCCGACCACCAAGGGCGGCCACGAAGAGCAGTCGAAAGCCGAGCTCCAGCAAGTCCACCTCGACGCCCTCGCCCGCCGCCACCAGGGCCAAAAGATCTATCTGCGCCAAGCCGCTGCCCAGCGCTGGGTCGAGTGGCGCAACACCATCCTGCAGGGCCAAAAGCCGTCCGCCGAGCACCAGGACCAGCTGCGGGCCTGTGACGAGCAACTATGGCTTGTAGGTGTTCTTTATTTTGGCTGTTCTCGCTTCGCTCGCTGGTGTACAGACCCGATCGTCTGCTGACAGACTAGGAACTGGCGCAAATCACCGACGAGGTGGCCTACGCCGAGCTTCAAAACTCCGACATCCAGATGGGCCGATGGGTCAGCGAGGACCCGAGCCTGCGAGCCGTCCAGCGCTGGGTCCGCTCTCGGCGGTGAAAGCAACGGCATTGACGACGACACGGACGACGGTGACACCAACCACCGATCAAAGCAATCAAAACCACTTAATATCACGACAGGCACTGGCTTGCTGTCTACGACCGTTTGACACGACTATTTCCTACAAAAGCGAACCGGACAAAACAAATATACAGGACACGACCTTTTCTTCTTTTATTCTGCTCGTCTTCCTTCTTCCTTATGCCTACTTCTTTCCTCTCTTCTTTTCACGGCTTCTTGCTTTTGAAAAGAGAGCTTGTTGATCTGTTTTGAGAGATACCATTTTTTGTACAGTGCTTTTACGCGTTTTGCTGCTCCTATATTTTGTCTCATATTTTTTTTATACTTTGCTTCGATCTTATTGGGTGGAAAGGGATACACCACTTGGCATACATCGGTCCACATCCTACATACATCTTCATCTGCCTGGAGCAGATACTTGGTTCGGAGGTCGACCACGGAAACGGAATACACAATCATACGGGACAAATATAAAAAAAGGAACATCACCAATAGAGACTACCAAAAACACCGAGAACGCCTCCCAACATGCAAACGAAACTACAGAACAAATGGGACAGCACGGCACGGGCAACAAAATAACAAGGATCTCACGAATATAGTCGCAGTATAACGCATCAACACCGATGACGGGACGATATGTTGGGTCTTGTATACAGGACTGGCGGCCTCCTTTCGAACAGACACATTTGCGATATTTTCACGTCGTCTTGCTATGAACACACAAGGCGATACCACACAGCGACAGAGCCATGCCGATGCACGTGTCTTGATTGGCGAGGGGACAAACGTGTTAGTGGAACAATGGCTGAATGCACGAGACAGGGGACGACGGAAAAGACCGCTCGATCGGGGACGTACCACGGCTGATCACTTTGCTCTCAACCCACCACTCGCCAATGACGGTGAACAGAAAGGCCAAGGTGTTGACGATAGGGACGGTCAAGCTTAGTTCTGGTTGGGGAGCGGACAAAAAAAGAGGGCCAAGGCGGACACAGCGCGCCATTGGCGAGGATTGGACACGTGTTAGTTCTCCATAAAAAAGAGGGACGTAAGGAAAAGGCAAAGGGAACGATCAAGAAAAAGAAAAGAAAGGCAACATGTTGCAAAACGAGTGCAGATCAGGTATCAGGTACGCATCACAAGGTAAGAGCAGGTTAGTAGAGGTGTGGATGGTGTGTGGGGATGGACAGGGCTGGACGAATATAGACTGCATAGCGTGTTCGCCCAACCCAATATGGCGCCTGCACGTCGCATGCAGCTGACGCTTGCAAAGGAGGACAAAAGGGGAGCAGACCACCAGACACCAATCAACAATGACGAAAGCAGAAGACAACACGTCCACAAGCATCTGACCCTTGACTAGGACGACGAAGAAAAGGGGACGTGCATACGCCATGACGAAAGGTTACACAAGACGCTAACAAGTTGGATAGCAATGTCGAAAAAGGAAAGGAAACAGGTGGACCGTGACCTCCGGAATACGCCGTGCCGTGACAAGACGAGGCTAACGGCAAAGGGTGAAGCGGGAAAGCAAAGTAATACAGGACGAGGAACGGGGGGCAAAACAACCCAAAACAGAACACAGAACGGTCAAAACGTATCTTACCCGCTTGGCCGATCAGCAGGAAAAACCACACGCTGCCTGTCAGGTTGAGCAGCAGCGGCACCGCGTAGCGCGGGTTGCGCAGCAGGTCGACCACCGCAAACACGGCCCCGTACACGCGCCGCTTCACCGTGCTGGCCTGGATGTCGGCACGCTCCAGCAGCGGGTGTGGCGGCGGCTTGTGGTCGCGCGCCGCTCTGCGAATAAAAGGCGTCGTGAAGCCCCAAGCAATGCCGACGAGCAGGAAGCCAAGCACGTAGTTGATGGCCGCTGGATGGGGCGCGTCCTCGGGGGGTGCAGCCGTGTCTAGACCCATGATTGGGATTGACGTAGCTGTAGGGAGAGAGGCTGTGGGCGGATGCGTTTGCGTTGGGAGCGTGTCCAAAAGGGGTGTGTGGTGGGAGTTGCGTTTCAATGTGGTTGAAGATGTTTGCCTCGATTTAGGGGCCAGCCCCAACCTGCGGGAAAACCGGAACAAGGCTGGATTGGGCGGCGCGCTAGCCTTGTTTACAACGGGGATTTGGGAAGGTGGGACCAACCAGACAGGCGATTGCCGACTGGAATCCTTCCTCTCTTTGCACTTTCCATGTCTGGACCAAAACGACTCATCTTGACAAATCTACATGGCGCATGCACATTTGTTCCTTCCGAATTATTTTGCTTCGTGACCCCTTTCCCCTTTCTCCTTTCCTTGTACCTGCATCGAGACGCTGCCCCATTTGCTGCATAGTGCCGGGACCCTCCCGAGGCTGAGAGCGAGGCTTTCTCGACCGCTGTGGTATGGCTGCGTCCTGATTGGCTCCCCACTCGCAGCCTTTCAGCTGGATCTGCCGCTCCGTACCTGCGCAAACGAAAATAGGGCACGAACCACGGAGCCACCGCTCGGGGCGATCGTTCGATCATTCGGAGCATTTGCATCGCTTGCAACTACTTTCTCCTCCTTTTTATTTTATTCAGCTGCCATGGCCACCCTCAATCGGCCCACGAGTGCCGGCCCTCGTCCGTGGGACGGGGTATGCCGTTGAGCAGGCCAATGAGCGAAGACATTTTCAATGTGGAGCGAACAAAGATCTGCTGCAGAAACATGGAACGAACAGTGGGAGCTTGAGCACGAGCAACGAGCAACAGCCGTGGGACACACCACGGGATGGGGGCCGTAAGCGAACAAGGCTCTTGTCTTCGTCTCGGCCTCGTGGTGGTTGATTGGTGTGTAAAAGACACGCTGCCCTCTGAACGTCACCATCGTCATGGACGCCCAGAACAGTTCAAGGCTGGGAGGCCGCCCATTCAGAATTCTGCTAGATCGTTGAGCAGATAAACACCGCTTTAGTCTTTAGTCATTTGTCTTCTCCTCTTTAGATTCTCGATTTCAGACTTTTCTTCCCCTTCGTCCTTTTCTTTGCCTTCGTCCTTTTATTTCGTTGATCTTCCCAACTGGCCACTGTGCCTGGCTTCCACTTACAAGCATGTCTCGGCTCAAGGCAACACCGCACACCACTACGTACAGCTCAAACTCAATTGGTAAGCCCCATGCTCATATTTTAGAATAGAAATAGGCACTCGCCAAAAATTCCCCGGCAGGGATTCCAATCCAACAACAGTCGTCATCTACGATTTCCCCACGCGGTCGCTGTCTACGAAAGCAAAGACCAAGTTAAAAATAGCAGCTTTCAAAGGTCCGATCCAGGCCGGAGCCGGAATGCGGACGGATACACAGTCTCGCCGGCCTGCAGACAGTCCCTCTCCTCCCTGTCGCTGTTGACGAACTAGCTTACGCTGCTGACATTATTGCTCTGACCCGTTGAGGTAGCACATGTGGTATTGCCCGGCTTTGCGATGAAGCCAAAGTCAATGCCATGACACAATAGTAAGCTTGATCGAAGAACGCAAAGATTTTCGTGTCTCCGTGATTCCTCTTTTAGTCTACCAAGCCTCGTGGTGACGACAAAATACGACACACACCAATACGACACTTTGTGCCCGCCAAAGTCGACTTTGCCGGGGGAGAACGCAAAAAGTTATAAATAAAAGGAGAAAGAATCCGGCTGCCTGGACACAGTGAGACCCCGCTGGCTGTATTCGTAGGGCGTGGTCCCTTTTTGCTGCAGCTCCACGCCCCCAGCAACGCCGCTAAAGAGTGTAAAAATATCGAAAGTACTACTGGAGATCACAGTCAACAACCAACCAGGATCGAGCAAGCACAACATACATCGAACCGCCATCGGCGCACTCTGAGCGCTTTGTCCCTACGGAACGCGTACTGTTAACAACAACAGCAGCAGCAGCAGTAACCGTCGCATCGAGAGCACCAGCATGGACTCTGCAACATTGCTCAATTGAACTCAATTGGAGCTGTCCTTACGACGAGAAAAGGCTCACATACTGTCTGGTTCCCGGTTCTCTCCAAACCAAGGTACACTTGAAACAAGGCGGCCAGCCGTTATTCGTGGATGGCCGCGGCCCGCACATCGGCTCTTACAGTCTCGCGCTTGGGGCTCTGGGACGGCCTATGGCCCGGTAACGGTTCTCCGTTTGGCAGCATATTAATTCTCTACGGAGAAGGCAATATACTGCAATTTCTCTAGGAGTGGGATGTCCGCTCACGAACCCTTGCATCCTGCTCACGTATGGTATTATTCAATCTGAAGACTTCTTTGCATCGTAGACCCCTGTAAACAGTTGTATCGAAACATCCCAGTTATGGTGTATGTATATTTTGTACGGTGGTACGTCGTCATACAATGCACAAAAAATTTACAGTGCATATGTCAAAAATAACGGTTGCTGTCGATTCGCGCTGATCCCCTGTCGCTCCTTCTATGGGAACCCCTGGTTCGCTGTTGCCAGCCTCTGCTTTTTATTGTTGACACTAGCTCACTGGTTTCCCCCTCCCCTTTCTCGGGCGCGCCTGCCCCACCAGCCTCTCGAAGACGAGCACGGCACTGATAATCCTAGTCGTGAGGTACCTTCCCTGCAGATCTGGCCGCATGCGGTACCTTCCCTCTTGCCCAACCACAAAAATTAAATCGCACCTGATAGGCAGGCTGGCGCGCATGGATGGCAAGAGCTACCCACGGTCCCGCGCTAACTCGTCCAAGGCAGGATGGACAGGCAGCGCCTCCCCGGAGGATGTCAACAAAGACTCATTTGCTTGCGTCTCGACCATTTTGGTTTTCCTTTCTAGCCTTCCAACCATTTCATCTTCGTCTTTATTCCGTTCCTTGTCGGCGAGCCTCTCTTTTCTCTCCGAGGACTGCTTGGAGGTTTTTTCCCCTCGGGATTCGTTCTTTTTTTCTCTCCTTTCTTGTTGTCGTCTTTCTCTGTCCGATTTTATTTTACGCGATTGACGCCATTCTCTCCGATGGTTTATTTTGACTCGACATTTACGACTTCAACCAGACCACTTCAGATCACACCCAGCTCGACCTACTGCGACCACATGTTTTCGGCTCCCTAATCCAAACAACCGCGTGAACGAGCGGCTTGCTGCACCTTGACGACAAACGGACACGCCGGCCTGCGGCCCTCGCGAAGCCGCTTCTGCCTCCATATGCGTCCGCCCGCCAGCAAGTAAACAAACCCGACTGCCCTCCACCTCTCCGCGTCTCGCAATGTCTTCCAAGTCCAAGTCCAATCCCCTCAACGGGGCACACACTGCCGGCATCTTCTCCGACCTCAGCGTCGACGGCCCCGTCATTGGCACCCTCGTGCTGGTCGTCGACCGTGCCAAGAACTTGCCAAACCGCAAGACCATTGGCAAGCAGGATCCGTACTGCGCGGCCCGCCTCGGCAAGGAGGCCAAGAAGACCAACACAGATATTCGTGGCGGTCAGACCCCGAGATGGTACGTTGGCTCCCGCTTCCAGCATCCCCATTCTGTGCCATTTGCCATTTGCCATTTGCCATTTGCCATTTGCCTATGGCCATACCGCTCTTGCTGACACGCTGCACAGGGACCAGGAACTGCGCTTCACCGTCCACGACTCTCCAGACTACTACCAGCTAAAACTGTCCGTCTTCAGCGACGACAAGAAGACCGAGCTGATTGGCGAGAACTGGGTCGATCTGCGGGACATTCTCGTCGCCGGCGGCGGCCAGAGCGACAAGTGGCAGTCTCTCAATTGCCGTGGCAAGTACGCTGGCGAAATCCGCATTGAGATCACCTACTACGACAGCAGACCCAAACCCAAGCAAGCTGCCCCAGCTGCCGTCTCTGCACCTACGACGACAGCGGCGTCCAACACGGGGAGTGCCCGGGGACGGCCGACGGCGGATACCGGCGGACCAAACACAATGGGCCCGCGGGCGCCCACTGGCCCCAAGCGGCGCCCGCTGCCGTCTGACCCAGTCACTGGCCAGCCGCCAGTCCAGCCACAGCCAGCAGCACAGTCGGCGCCTTCCCCTGGTCCCCCGGCACCAACACCGCAAGCGGCCCCTGCTGCTGCGCCAGCTGCAGTGCCATCGCCCGGCTTTGTTCAGCAGCAACAACTGCCCCAGCATATGCAGACACCACCGCGTCAGAGCTACACACCGAACCAGTCTCCGCTGCCCTCTGCCAACAACTACAGCTACAACAGCAGTGCCAACTCGCCAGCGCCGGTTACACCAGCAGGCCAGTACCAAGACTACCATGACCGGGATCCATACATGGCGGGAGACGACACTCGTTACGAAAGCACGCCCCCTGCTGTGCAACACCAGCAGCACCACGGGCACCAAAGCCAGCAATCCCACTACAGCGTCCACAGCCCCCACAGCCACTCACATGACAGGTCTCAGTATGGAAGTCGCGACTTCACCCCGGACAATGCCCACCACCATCAACAGCACCCATCGTACGACCAACAGCAACAAGATTCTGGCGAGTACCATTTCGACGGCGCTCCTGCACACTCCATGCCACCCGCCATGCCGCCTTCGTTCCAAGACCCAAACTATGCTCAGCCGGCCGACGACCGCCCACCGCCGCCGCCAGCTCACCGCAGTAGGAACAACAGCAGCGGAGCGCCGGGTACGGACAGCTCGTTCCGCACCAGCTTCAACTCCTCAACACAAAAAGATGGCATGCCCGCCATGCGTCGTGATGTGCTGCGGAACGAGGCCCACCGGCACTCCGTCTCCACGGCGGCCTACCCAGGCCGTCCCACATACCGGCCAGCGGACGCGAGCCCCGTGTCGCCGGGTTCCTTGCCCGACCAGACATACCAGCCACCGGCTCCACGCAACCTCTCTCATAGTGCCTCTTACGACGGACAATACGGGAGTGAGTTTGACAACACTCACGAGTCATCTTCTTTCCGTAAGAGCGGCAGCCGGCCCGTCTTTCCTTCAATCCCGCAGCAGCAACAGCCGGAGCCACCACACCAAGAGCAATCCAACTACGATTATGACTCGCAAGGATTCGAGAATGCGCCGAGCCCTGCCCCTCTGAATTTGGGCTCGCATCGAGCCAGCTTTTCGGCGTCTCCGGCGCCTCTTTACTCTTCGTCCGCACAGTCACAGCATCGCCAGAGCGATGCAGGCCAGTACGTACACAGATCGCCGTCTCCCATGACTCCACACGATTACGGTCGGAGAAGCCCAAGCCCGCTTCCCACGCATCCGGTCTTGTCGTCGTATGATTCATACGATGGCCAGGACGACCCGTACCAGAGCAATCACAACGAGCCAGATGCTACACATCACAGGGACAATCCGGACGCATATATGCTTCCTGCTGTCCCAGCGTCTCTTGTTCCTGGTGTACCTTCTTCGCTTGCCCTCGAACTTCGGTCCCGTATCCATAGTGAAGACCGCCGTGAGCCACAGCTTCCGCAGCCGCCTCCGCAACAGCGGCGCTACACATCTGCCATGGATGCGCCTCCACAAGCAACACCTCCCCGTGGCCGCCAAATGCTCGAAGACCCATCGCCGGCCAGTCTCGACTACGACTACAACAAAGGGTCTCAGGTCCAGACGTACAGTACTCCGCAACGCTCGCAATTCTCCCAGTCGTACAGCACACCGCCACAGCCTGTGCAACCGCCCCAGCCCCGATACGACCATAGCCCGGGCCCGTATTCTTCAGGCGTGCCGTCGCCAGCTGTTGTTGCCAACGCCCAGGGCGCATCGCCGAAACCGCAACACACCATCAAGCGCAAGTCGGTCAGCCCGGCACCTCCTGCTGCCTCGCCCGAGGGTGAGCGTCGTTTGTCCGGCATTCCGTTCGGTCCTGACTCGTACGACTCCCTGAACCCGGCCCTGGCAGCATCCAAGGATCTGGCCCGGCCGGACTACAATGAAGCCAGCGGCAAGATTATTGCACACGACGGACGCGAGATCGACCCGTCCGATCATCTTCCTGTAGAATCATGGGCGCCGGAGCCCGAACCGAAGCCGAGCAATCCTGCATCTGCCACAGCTTCCCCGGCCGACTACTCGACGCCGACGTCGGGGAGAAAACAGCTACGCATTGCCGGCCGGCCGCAGTCCTCAATGGGCAGCTCAGGCGTGACATTCAGCTCAGCCGACGATCCCGGAACCACATACACACCGACAGCACGCAACCGCCTCCAGAAGAAGGCCAATCGCCAAAGTGTCGCCGCGATTTCGGTGAGTAGCGGCACGTTGTCTTCAGGCTCACCCCAGGGGTCTACTCCGCTCGCACCGCTCACCTATCCCCGCCAGCAGCAAGACAGTTTCACGCCACCACGGCCACTAGGACGCGCGAGCACGTTCGACTATCCCAGCGAGAACCATGCGCCGTCGACGTATGGCAGCGGCCCAGGCCGCACTAGCTTTGGAAGCCCGGCGCCGCCTATTCCGGCCAAGGTCCCTGTCGGTAGCAGCCAGTACAATGGGGCATCCCATACCGGGAGCTTCAGAGGCAACAGCAGCTACGGTTATGATGACAGTGGCGACCGATGCCCGGTGATGAGCGGCGCTCTGATGCCCACCGGACCTGCAACCAGAGCGCTGCCGTGGAATGACAACAGTACAGGTGGCGGCATGCATGGCGGCCCTGGGGAGATAGCTCTTTTGGAGGAGATGAGTCGAATCGATATTGGGACGGGCCGTGCTCGTCGTCACCAAGGTCGTTGATGTCTCCGAACAGACACTTTTGAGAGTCGAGGTGGGGAAGAAAGGGTGTGCATTTGCTTCAAAAGCCAATGCTTTCCTATGTTTTGCTAAGCCACGATATGCGCATAGTGGCCGCCGACGTGGGCGATGGTATCGATGGCGCTTGGTTTCTGTCTTCTGCTATGTTTCACATATAATTGGGATCTGGGGTGGGCCGGCTTTTTGTGTTTTTTTTTCCACCTTTGAGATACTGGGACTCTCTAATCTTGTACTTGTTTTACGTTTGCTCTATATTTTCCCGCATTTTGCCAGCAATCGATTGGTGCTGCTGCACACAATATACGAAAGTACAGCTCATCATAAATACCCCGAGATAGGCTGGCACAGTGAAGGAAGCAGGAATCAAACAAGATCTGTTATATGCAAAACGGCGGCTCGTATGCAAAGGTCATGTACTACTTTTCGTAGAGATCCAGGTACGTCGAGCGGAGGCGCATCTGCAGGTGCTCGTCCGCCGTCATGATCGTGCTGTCGGGCGCCGCAATGGCTTTGCCCTTGCCCTTCGCCTCGGCCACGGCCTCGGCCACGCGCTTGCTGGGGACGGCCGACAGCGGGCTCGCGCCGGCGGGGTGGCAGAAGAAGGCAATCGAGTACCGCGGCTCCTTGGTGCTCTCGCCGGGCGTCACGTTGGCGCCATCGACACCGGGCGGCGGGAAAATCACACGGTGTACGGTGCTCCGCAGCAGCCCGCCCGTCCAGTAGGACAGCAGGTCGCCAATGTTGACGAGGATGGGAGGCGCGGCGTCGGTCTCGACGCCGGTGCCCGAGGGCAGCACGGGCACGGGGACCCAGCTGCCGTCGCGCGTGTTGATTTCCAGACCCGCCTGGCCGGCCAGCCGGAAGAGCAGCGTCATGGAGCCGTAGTCGGAGTGCGCGCCCGCACGGACGCCGTCGGTGTCCTCGTCGGTGTCCTGACGCGCCGGGTAGTACAGCAGCCGCAGCGTGTTACCCGACGGGCCGGCCGCCTTGCGGTGAGCGGCGGTGAAGAAATCGGGCGGGTTGACCTCGAGGCCGATGCCCAGCAGGTCGTTGAGCTTCAGACAGAGGCGGTAGCAGAGGTCGAAAAAGGCGTCAATCTGCGGCTCGTCCGAAGCGAGCGACGGGGGCAGCGGCTGCTGGGCCTTGCCGTCGACAAACTCGCCAAAGTTGAAGGCCCTGTGTTTGGGGGGGAAGGCGAAAACACACCTATGTTAGCATGAAAAACGCTGCGGCCATGCAGTGGGCGGATGTGCACTGCGAAATTCGGTTTCCCCTTACTCTTTCGTGTCGCCGACCTGTATGAGCAGTAGCAGTAGCAATTAGCAGACAAACACACGTGCTGAGGCACCAGTTATACGATGGACGCACCCGCTGTGTCTTGGGGTCGAGCGTCTCGACGTGCATGCCCGTCCAGCCGCGGTTGTTGGTCTGGATCTTGCAGGGCTCCTTCTCCTCGGTCGGCAGCTGGAACAGCTTGCGAGACTAGGAGAGTGGTTAGCGATGACGAACGGCCATGGGCCGGGCAACCAATGCGCGACTGCACGGCTGGGACTGGAGAACGCACAATGTCAAAAGCGCCGTTGATGGCCGACGCTGGAATGTCCAGCCCCGTGTTGCGAATGTACACAAAGCCGTGCTCGACGGCAGCCTCGACAAGAGCGCGAGCCACGGCGTCGCGGGCAGCACCGCCCTCGTCGGCTCCGGTGAGGTCAATGACCGGAATCGGGGCAGCAGACATGGCAACGATTGTGGTTGTTAGTTTTTATGCAGATAGACTTGGACGAGCTCTTTCTGAAGGTGGAAGTTGTCAGGCTGTCGAGGTGTGGCGGGGCGCTCCTGCCACGGGCGATCTCTTTCCTCTTATACGTTACGTTACGGTTGTACAGGGCCCAACGGCGTCGTTTTATTCGGGTTGCTCTTCCCCCAGACGTCTCTGTAGTGGCGGCAAGCAATAGATACAAGATAACGCTCTTCACAAGTACAATGGATAGACTGCGGCCGCTCTCACATCTCGTCCGCTGGGAAGCCCGGAACTGCCCGTCCTGGAGCTTAGCATGCCCAAGTTCCCATCGACGGACCCTCAGCATGTTCTGCCATTCCGAATGAGGTAAAAAGGTGAAGTAAGTCAAGAGAAGCGCCGCCAGACAGGGCTATCAAAATTAGGTAAAACGAGTCGCATTGGATCCGATGAGAATGCTCTGCAGGCCCTCAAAGCCAAGCCGCTTAGTCGCCCGCTTCTCGCCCGCTAGATACTGATACACTTACTCTGCTTTGCCTCCTTTGTGCGCACTCGCCCCAGTTCTTACACGTCAAGTCGACTGGGGCGCTGTTTCCCGTTTGGGCAACTTTAAACGACCAGTCAGAACCGCATTACTACATATCGCATATTGACATGCACACTAAGCACTCTGTTATCGAGGCAGATCACGTGCAGCTAAGCTGGAGCGCAACAGGTGGAGTCTTTTGGATTCGCTCTGGACTCGGGACGTGTTCTCGCCAGAATTACGCGGTGTCTCGTACGAGGACAGTGTGCGCTGAGGCGATCTACAGGTGATGGTTCGTCGCTCCTGCCGCTTGTCTCGTCACCCATTTTCGGCACGAGCACAGGTGAAAAAAAAAGGGAAAAAAGGAAGTAAAAAAACAGGGCAACAGATCACCAACCAATTCAGAGCTGCCCGTTTGCACTTTTGGCTTTGGTCTGTCACTCGCTTCGCTCTCCCAACCATTCTACCCAGACCCCTTCACTGGCACTCGTTTCCTGGATCGTCAGCCCCGTCACTCGGCATCGTGATGACCTGCTCACCTAGCTCTTGCCTGGCGAGCTAATTTGCAGCCCCCTTCCTTCCTTTTCGACACCCATTTCTAGCAGCCAGTCGCCCTTTCCTTGTCCATTTTCCTCTCCTTTTTCAACACCGCGTCGCTCCTTCTCTCCGTCTTTTCCAAGCACTCCAACGCGATAAATAAATCTATTACGAAACGCGGAACGCCCTCCAGCGCCATCATCCTTTTGTTTTCGACAACACAACTCCATCTTCCATCGTCCCTGGCCACAACTTCATCACCGCGGCGATTTTGGGTGGCATCCCCCATCAACCCACAGCCTCCCTGCATCTCCACGGCAGGCGCCATCAGCTCACAATGGCCTCTCCAAGCTCGGCCATGAGCACGACGGAAGTTGAGCCCCAAACGTCGCCTGCCCCCAACGACAAGTCCTTTGCCACAAACGCGGCGAACCTGACCGAAGACGACGCCAGCGACCGTGAGAATGGCACCCCGCGGAACACGTCACGGAACACGAGCCGCATGATGGACACACCCGACGTATCAGAACGCCGCGGTGGTGCTGGCAGTGGGCGCGGTCGGGGCCGGGGCGGTCGCGATTCGTCGGCTGCCGGTGGTGCCAATGGCGCGGGGGGGCCCGGCGTGTTCAAGGACCCCAGCGCCATTGGCAAGATCCGGCATCTCAAGAAGGAGGATGGCGAGCCGCTGTGGCGTGTCGACATCCAGTACGACTTTCTGCGGGCCGTCTTCGCCGACGAGCACTGTGTTTTTACAAACAGCTACGAGCCAGACACGATGCCCAAGCAGTGCTTCGCGGACCTGTACATTGACACAATGGCCCGAAGCAGCAAGACCAGCAAGATTTTGCACGACAAGCTGCTGACGGACCGCGAAGCGGCCAAAAACATGGCCATGGTGTGTCTGCTGGTCAACATCGGCCGCATGAACACCACGTTGAATTGTGAGTCGTCCCTCTCTCTTTCCACACTCACACTCTCTCTCTGAACGTTGCATGTCCTTTTCGCATTCTAACACCTGCTCAGTTTTCCCCGAGATGCGCGCGCAACTACGCACCTACCATGCGATTCCCTCTCTCCAGATCCACGAGAAGCCGCAGGACTACAAGCAATTGCAGGACGCGCCGCGCCTCAAGTCCATCCTCAAGGGCGGCACAGAAGACCGCGCCGAGCCGAGGTCGCTGGACCTCCTCAAGGACATGGACGTCCCGCGTACCAACCCGGTCAACCTCTTGTTCCTGATCTGCAACAATGCCTCTAAAGTAGCCGAACTGCACTTCCCGCCGGGCCGCGAGTTCCACGATTTGATCATGAAGACCAACCTCACGAGCGCGTCGCGCGCGCGTGCGTTCCTCTGGGTCGTGTGGTTCTACCTCGAGTCCGACTTCACCGAGGAGGGCTGCGAAGAGAACCCGTTCGGTCCGGGCGTCGACTATGGCGTCGATGTCGCCAACCAGGGCGTCCCCGTCATGGAGGAGATGACGCCAGAGCAGGAGAAGCAAGAGAACATTGACACCATGGTCGAGATCGCCTTTGGCACAAGCAAGAAGCATCTGCGCTCCCTGATTCTGCAAGACGAGCACTTTATTGACATCACGTCGCAAAAGCGCAGCTCGCGCCCCTCGCGCCCGTCTGCGGCCGCTACGGCCGCGGCGGCGGTCAAGGAATCAGCCGCTGAGCTCGCTGGCACGGACAATGAGCGGTCCCTACCGCCGGCTATCCTGCCGCGCATTCGCCCTTCCAAGCATGAGAGCGACGTCGAGAGCATGCGGTCCACGCCGCCGCCACGCTCGCTGATCCGCTCGTTTGGCGGCGGTGCCGCCGCAGGTTCTGCGCGTCGGGGCGGGCCACACAAATATTCGCTGGGGGATGGGGGCGGGGGCCCGTCGCCTGTGCGCCAGCCGCCGCTGATACAGCAGCTTCACCAGCAGCAGCAGATGCAGCAGACGCGCCGCAAGCGCAAGTCGGCGAAGCCTGACGGCCGCAGCAGCCGGCACCGCCGCGACGACGACGACGACGACGGCGACGATGACGACGTCCGCGCCAACACATCGGTGGCGCCCAGCCGCAAGCCGCGCCCTCCGACGGCGCACCAGATTGCCGTGGAGAACAACCGCAAGCAGCGGATTGAGTACCTGCTGTCGCGCGGCATGCACCGCAAACACCACCGATCGCGCAAGACGCGGCGGACCGAGGGCGCGATTGTGCGGGCGCTGCGGCGCCTGGACGAGGTCGAGGACCCGTTTGAGAACAGCGAGGACGAGTCCAACCTGGCGTTCAACCGGGAGCTGTTTACGTTTACAATGGGCGCGCCGCAGAGCATGGCGACGGGCACCGCATTCCGCGAGCGCGGCTTCCACGGCCTGGTGCAGATCAAGACCGAGCCGGAGGACTTTGGCGAGGAAGTGTCGGCGTATGCCTCGGCGATGCGGCGCGCCTGCCGTCGGCTCAACCGCTGGGAAACCGATGGCATGGCCAAGAACATGGTGGTGCCGACAATCAAGCGGCCGCGTGTCAACGTGCCGGCGGTCGAGGACGAGTACCGGGACCCCAACGAGACGGAGGAGGAGCAAGACCTGGACCAGCCGGGCGGCGATCCCGACGCGTCCATGTCCATGTCGTTTGTCGAGACGACACCCGTTCCGGCAGCCAAGAAGCGGCGCACGGCCGGCGCAACGGGCCAGGTTCCGGCCGTGGCAGCCCTGAGCCGTGCGCGCGGCGGCCGCGTCTCGGGCCGTGTTCCTAGCAACACACCGGCCGCCATTTCGGCGCGGCGGCGCCGCGCGGCCAAGGCAGCCGCGCTTCTGGCCAGTAGCGGCGGCGGCGACGTGGCGACGCGCGATGCCGGCGGCCGGAACGGCAGTGCGGGCATTGGCGCAGACGACGCCGGTGGCGAGGATGCGACGGTCCTGGCCAGCGGCGCAGAGGGCGAGGGTGACGCCGACAACGACGTGGAGGCTGCCGATGGTGCCGACGGTGCCGACGGTGCCGACGACACAGAGGACGTGGCGTCGGTGTCGGCCGCGCCGGTCAACAAGACACGCGTGACGATCAAGAAAAAGACGTCCGGCGCGCCGGCCCGCGGCAGCAGTCGGGCGGCTAAGGTGAAGCGCGAGGACGAGGACGGCGACGAGGCGGCCAATGAGGCCGGTGACGGTGAGGACGACGAAGACGAGCTCAACGACGTGGATAAGGCGCTGCTCGGCATGGGCTCGGACTCGGAGTAGGCCTTTGTACAGACGATGCTGCATGGGGAAGAGAGCTGTTCCCTGAGTCTTGGTTCTTTTGGTTTTTAGACTTTGTACGAGAAAGACAGACGGAGTAGGATGTTCATTTCACGGTTTTCTATTGTTCTTTTGTCTGGCTGGGGCCATCTTTGTTTATTCTGTTCTTTTTTTACTCGTCGACTCAAGACAGCAACATTGGGGGATACAGACGATGACGCTGGAGTCTTTGAATCTGTTTCAGTATTGCGCTGTTTTCACTTTTTCACGTGGCGATGGATACGGGATGAACAGGCTACACGGTGTTTTGCTATTGTGCTATTGTTGATGCTTGCATGTATTAATCGGTACATCCTATTCTCATGTATAACGATGCGTTACTGTCGCCACTGTGATGTCTGAAATGTGGCCTGATGTCTTGTTTTATTAATAAATACATATTTTATATTAAAAGACCATCATTAGAGACATCTGCGCAACTGCTTTTCTTTACACCACCTGCGCTTGGCAAAAGGCAAATCATCTGTAACAGGCGTCGATGTCCGCCGATAACGGTGCCACGTCTTTACTCCTGCAGTATGTTATACGACGTAATGCATTTTTTCTCCTTCCAGAAGTGGCGTTCGCTCCACAGATGGGGAGGAGGGCAGCAAAACGGAGAACAAAACAGGAAACAAGGCTGGTCGCTTCCCATGCATTTTTATTTTATTTATTTTATTTTATTTTTTTCTTATTTACGAATAGAGAGTCAGTCGCGCAAACCAGCCTGGTTTATGCTTCCGATAGTATGTCGGAAGGATTCCCTCAGGTGCCCTCCCATTGGCCCCCTCCCACTGCTCCGCATTACTCGGACACCCTTGTGGACGTGCTTTTCCCTGTAGGCCTATTTCCAGTGGTCAAGTCATATATTTCCTGCAGCATCCTTACAGGCTCCAATGAGCCGACTCTGAGGGACGAAGTCCCCAAGATGGTCCAATTCCTCAGCGGTATCTCTGTAGTCTTAAGGAGTAGCCATTCAGTTGTTCGACACTGGACAGAGGTATATCTATGGTGAGCCTTCCCCTTACTTTGTTGTATATTTGTATGGTACTGTTTGTCCGCCGTTCTGGGCCGATCGTTTTCGTATTTTTTGTTTTCTTTGCTTTGCATTTTGTATTACCAATCAAGAGCGAAGCCAAGCATTTTCGTCGTGCCTGTTGGCGTTTTGGCGCACTTGTAGGATACAAGACTAAATAAAAACCGGGGGCAATGCGAGTCCAACCGAAATGGGCAAAATATCGCCAATACTGCCCAATCCCTGCGGGAAGTCGGTGCAGGTAACGCCCGACATTGCATTCTTGGTGCGGAGCAATACTCCATACTCCACAGGCGGTTCCTGGATCGCATTCTCTGGTGAACATTCTGAGGGACACATTGCACTCCAGATATTCCGTCAGATGTGAGATGTGAATATCTTCGAATGTGCCCATCCCCCCAAGCAGTGCAGGCTGTCCACGCGATTGTCTGCTGTCGCAGTGGGTAACTGCCGGCATATGTCTGTGTCGTACCCACCCGCCGCGGCAAAGCTGGCCTGGAGAAGCATGCGTCGGGGCCGGTGCCCGGTGTACGCCGTCGAATGTGTGGTGCATGAGACGCAACGACGGTCGGCACCGACTAGGGGGACAAGTCGAGTCATCTGGCGTCAACTGCCGCCAAGACTAAAGGTTGAGGGGGCCAGGGGAGGTGGAAGGTGCAGGTGAGGTAAGGAAGACGAAGCAGGGAAGAAAGCGTAGGGACGGAAAGCAGGCCGGTGGTGTTGGCCAGTCATGTTGCAAGGAAACATCGTACTCCAAGTCCCGTCTCCGAAAGCATGAACAAGTCGGGATAGATGGCAGCGATTCAACAATTCAACGAGGACGGTTGTACGGTATGCCATGCAGGGCCATGCGCGTCAACGTTGCGCGTTCTGTCAGGCCGTGTCGTCGTGACGCGCCGCAACAGATGGAGCCATGGTTTCTTTGTTTCCTTGGTTATGGGGCTGGCCAGCCGTGCCGAAAAGCAAATACAACATCGGAGCTTTTGCATGTCCGTGGTACACATACTGTGTATTTTTTTTTTTTGTAAAGGCTGCCGTGTGCCGTGCATGTACGGGAGTTGGAGTCGAGCTTGTACTGTGTACGCGGCCGTCTGGCTAGCCAGCTGCCAGCATGCACCAACCTCGGAGTCCAAGTCCCATCCTCGGAGTACCAACCACGGGAGACCTCTTCTTTCTCATGGCCGGCACCGACAACGGCCAAGGAGCAACCGCCTCATGGTGGCCGACTTGGACGACTCTTGGGCTCGTCTTTGACTCTTCTTTGACTCACGGCCGCTTGACTGGGCGGGTAGGATCCATGCCCTGCCCCGGCCCGTCATTGGTTCTCTGTGTTGTCTTTTGGTGCTGTGCGAGCTGTTGGATTTGTGTTGCGCATTCCCATTCTTATTTTCGTGCGTCGTAGCGTTTTCGTCGTGTCTTTACCGCCTTTTTCTGGGCGGCCAGGGGTAGACAACGGCACTGCCCACATTCCGTAAAACGGAGATAGCACAAGCATCGTACGCGAAGACGTCCGCGAAAATACGCGACAGGGACGGCATGGACGTCGTTTTCGCCATTCACCATTCGTAATGTGTTGCTCCGTATTTCCAGGAACAAAGACAATAACGCTTGTGGTTTACGCGAGCAAATATGCCGGAATGCAGCAACCTCGCGTGTCCAAATCATTTTCTTCGACTTTGTTGCGCGCCAGTGCTGCTCCACAGTGGCTTGCATTGGTCATGTAGTGGTGATAGCCTTTCCGGTGCCGATTTGCCGGGCCGTCCAACCAACCGCTGTTGGCCAACACAAGGACCCCCTCCTGAATGCTTGGCCTGGCCTCTCAACAAATTCCATCTACTGCACGCCGTGGCTCGATATTCTCGTTGCGCGTTGGTGTTTTCGTCCTGCGGCTCAGCTCAGCCTGGGACGGCAACCCATAACCCATGTGCCCGGTCGTTCCACACGCCGGCAGATTGACGAGCTGGCGACCTGCCCATTCATTTGTGGACCGCTATGGTCAAATATCCAAACGGCTGCCGCTGTGACTCAGCTCCGATTGCGTGCGATGCCGTTTCCTGAGAGATCCACGGCCGGAGCAAAAATCGGGGATAAGGCTTGTTCAGTGGTTGACCCAAGACCTGCATCAAGTCTGCATCCACAAGATTGACTGGACTTTGTCGAATCGGCTCCATTCACTTGCGGGACTGACTTTGCCATTTTTTTTGTCGCCGGTTCTGGCAATGTGTAGGCGAAGGGGGCGACAGTGTGGCTAGCTTGCTGCCTGCCGCGGGCCCTTGCCGCAAAGAAGGCATCGTTTCTATTTTCTGTGATGGTCGCGAGCCAGTGGGCGGTGGCCCAGGAAATCAACGCAATCCTGACAAACACATAACCCATCCCGCCTAGCACGGGCGGCCCACGCGCCTGTCGGCACCCTCAATCGCCGTCACCTCCGAGTCCTAGCACCGCACCACCTTCTGGAATCGGCCTAAGCGTCCTACAGGCCGCTCTCCCCAGACGCCCTAGAAAAAGAACTAGTTAGATAATACCGTCGCATGTATTCTGTAACTCCGTACGACATCCATGACGGCTTGGAAAACAGAAGAGAAAAAGGGGAGTGGCGGATAAAAAAATAAAATAAAAAAATAAAAAAGTCCGCCCGCAAACGATGCAAACTAACCACAACCTGCGTGGCAATCAGGACTTTGAGACGGGAGAACCTACCTTGTCCTTCTGTGCCGTAGTTTCCTCCTGTCTTTACTTTTTCTTCCTTTTTTTTGATCCGTTCCTTGTGTTCTTTCTTTGTCGTGTGCAGCTGCTGTCTCTTTGGCTCGCTCCCTTCTTTATTTAATTAGTAGCCACGCTCCTTGTGTTTTGTATTGTCCCTCTCTGACATCGACTGGCACCGATCGACGCAACAAACCTTTGGGACAATCAAGACCAAAGTCAACAACGTATCATCGTCAGACCTATTGGCAAGGCGGTCTTTTCGAGCCGCCGTTTTGTTTGACCAGACGCCTTGGCAGCCGCATTTGGACGACATCGCCGCCCAACTGCGTGTAAGCCCACCATCATGGGCGACTCCGAATATGAAAACGAAAAGGAGCACGAGCGCGAGGTCGCCGATGTCGCCAATGTCCCCGACCCCATCAGCAGTTCCGTCGCCGCCGCTGCCGCCAACAAAAGCGATGAGGATGTTATAAGCGAAAAGGACGTTGCCATGGGCGCCATGGACCAGGACTCCGACCTCGACGATGACGACGACGACGGCCAGGTGGGCCGCGCCCAGCAGAGCCAGCAGGAGGAGATGCACCGCGTCCGCAGTACGGCTACCGATGCCAGCGCCACCAGCGCCGCCACCTCGGCTGCTGCTTCCGCACTCCCGCCAAAGCGGTCGTTCATGCACAAAATCAACCCCTTGCGCTGGGGCAAGGTCCCCGCCGTCCCCGACGAGCGCACCGTGTGCCCGGAAGACAAGGCCAATTTCTTCAGCAAGCTCATCTTCCACTGGCAGGGCCCTCTCATGCGCACCGGCTACTCCCGCCCCCTCGAGCTCAACGACATCTGGCTCGTCAACCCCAACCGCGCCGTCGAGCCCATGACCGACCGCGTCCGCGCCTCCTTCAAGCGTCGCGTCGCCCGCGGCGACAAGTACCCCCTCCTCTGGGCCATGCACGAGGCCTACTTCTTCGAGTTTTGGCTGGGCGGCATGTGCCAGCTCTCGTCCTCCATCTTCCAGGTCATGTCGCCCTTTACCCTGCGCTTCTTGATCCAGTTCGCCACCGATGCGTACAACGCCAGCAACAATGGCGGCCCCGCGCCCCACATCGGCCGCGGCCTCGGCCTCGTCTTTGGCGTCACCATCATGCAGATGCTCCAGAGCCTGGGCACAAACCACTTCATCTTCCGCGGCATGATGATCGGTGGCCAGGTTCGCGCCACGCTCATCAACCTCATCTATGAAAAGAGCATGGTTGTGTCGGGCCGCGCCAAGGCTGGCGGCCGCGCGCGCCCTGACGACCCTGCTGACGCATCCAAAGATGCCAGCGGCAAGGATGCGAGCGACGGCGATGACAAGTCGGACAAGGAAAAGGCTAAGCGCATGAACATTGATGCTGCTGCTGCTGCCGCCGCCGCCGCCAAGTCGGGTGCTCTGGTGGCCGGCGACGGTATCGGATGGGGCAATGGTCGCATTGTCAACCTGATGAGCGTCGACACCTACCGCATCGACCAGGCCTGCGGTCTCTTCCACATCATTTGGTGTGCCCCCATCTCTTGCTTGGTCACCCTTGTTCTCCTGCTCGTCAACTTGACCTATGCCGCCCTTGCGGGCTTTGGTCTGCTCGTCGTTGGCATTCCGGTGCTCACCCGGGCCATCAAGAGCCTCTTCAAACGCCGCAAGCTCATCAACCGCGTGACGGACCAGCGCGTCTCTCTTACGCAGGAAATCTTGCAGTCCGTGCGCTTTGTCAAGTACTTTGGCTGGGAGAGCTCGTTCTTGGCCCGTCTTGAGGAGTACCGCGCCAACGAGATTTCCATGATCCAGGTCCTGCTGTCCATCCGCAATGCCATCATGGCCATCAGCCTGTCCCTGCCCATTTTCGCCTCCATGCTGTCGTTCATCGCCTTCTCCCTGTCGCACCACAATCTCGCGCCCGCCAAGGTCTTCTCGTCTCTGGCCCTGTTCAATGGCCTGCGTATGCCGCTCAACCTCTTGCCCCTAGTCATTGGCCAGGTCACCGATGCCTGGACGTCCGTGAAGCGGATCCAGGAGTTTTTGCTGGCCGAGGAGCAGGAGGAGGACGTCGAGTGGAAGCCCGAAGGCGTCCATGCTGTCGAGATGCACGATGCCTGCTTTACCTGGGAGAGAACCCCTACGCAGGAGACCGATGACGGGGCGGGCAGCAAGAAGCCAGGAGCAGCCCCCTCGAAGAAGGGTCAGAAGAAAAAAGAGGCGACCGCCAAGGCGGCCCGGCCGGCTTCGTCGGATGGGAGCGCTGGTGACACTGCCAGCACGCTTGTCGAGGAGCTCGAGCCATTCAAGCTCAACGACTTAAACTTTAGCATCGGCCGCAACGAATTGGTCGCTGTCATCGGCTCCGTCGGCAGCGGAAAGAGTTCTCTGTTGGCGGCGCTTGCCGGTGATATGCGCAAAACCAGTGGCGAGGTTGTCCTGGGCGCGTCCCGCGCCTTCTGTCCGCAGTACGCATGGATTCAGAACGCCACCCTCCGTAAGAACATCTTGTTCGGCAAGGAGTACAGCGACAAGTGGTACAAAGATGTTATCAAAGCGTGTGCCCTGCAGCCCGATTTGGACATGCTGCCGGCTGGCGACGCGACCGAGATTGGTGAGCGCGGCATCACCATCTCCGGCGGCCAGAAGCAGCGCCTGAACATTGCGCGTGCCATCTACTTTGACGCCGACATCGTGCTGATGGACGATCCCCTGAGTGCTGTCGATGCTCACGTTGGCCGCCACATCTTTGACCATGCCATCCTTGGTTTGCTCAAGGACAAGTGCCGTATTCTGGCCACCCACCAGCTCTGGGTGCTGAACCGCTGCGACCGTATCATCTGGATGGAGGCCGGCAAGATCCAGGCTGTCGACACGTTTGACAACCTGATGCGTGACCACGAGGGCTTCCAGCAGCTGATGGAGTCGACGTCGGTCGAGGAGGAGCAGGAGGCGAGCGCGCCCGCGCCCGCGTCTGCGGATGCCGAGGGCAAAAAGAAGAAGAAGAAGAAGGGCAAGACCCTGATGCAGAGCGAAGAGCGCGCCGTCGCAAGTGTTCCATGGTCCACCATCGCCGACTACATTCGGTCGTCAGGCTCCATTTTGAACGGCCCCTTGGTTGTCTTTTTGCTCATCCTCTCACAGGGCTCCAACATTGTGACGTCTCTGTGGCTCTCGTACTGGACGTCGGATAAATTCGGCTTCACGACGGGCGTGTACATTGGCGTGTATGCTGCTCTCGGTGCGGTCCAGGCCTTGCTTACTTTCAGCTTCATGGTGTCCTTGTCCATCTTTGGCACCAGCTCGTCCAAGGTCATGCTGCGTCGCGCCATTGGGCGTGTGCTGCGTGCGCCCATGTCCTTCTTCGACACGACCCCCCTTGGTCGTATCACCAACCGGTTCAGTCGCGATGTGGACGTCATGGACAACTCGCTGAGCGACGCCATGCGCATGTACTTCTTCAGCGTGGGCAGCATCGTCTCAGTTTTCGCCCTCATCATCGCCTTCTTCCACTACTTTGCCATTGCCCTTGGCCCGCTCTTCCTCATCTTCCTCTTCGCCACGTCCTTCTACCGGTCGTCGGCGCGCGAGGTGAAGCGTTTCGAGTCGGTGCTTCGGTCGACCGTCTTTGCCAAGTTTGGCGAGGGCCTCAGCGGCGTGGCCTGCATTCGGGCCTACGGCCTGCGGGAGCATTTCATGGCAGACCTGCGCAACGCCATTGACAACATGAACTCGGCATATTACCTGACATTCAGCAACCAGCGCTGGCTGTCTGTGCGTCTCGACATGATTGGCAACCTGCTTGTGTTCACAACCGGGATCCTCGTCGTGACGTCGCGCTTCAACGTCTCGCCGTCCATTGGCGGCCTTGTGTTGTCGTACATCCTGGCCATTGTGCAGATGATCCAGTTCACGGTGCGTCAGCTCGCCGAGGTGGAGAATGGTATGAACGCCGTCGAGCGCCTGCAGTACTACGGCCAGCAGCTGGAGGAAGAAGCACCGCTGCACACGGTTGACGTGCGCCAGAGCTGGCCGGAGAAGGGTGAGATTGTCTTTGACAACGTGGAGATGCGCTACCGTGAGGGTCTTCCGCTCGTGCTGCGCGGCCTCAGCATCCACGTGCAGGGCGGCGAGCGTATCGGGATTGTCGGCCGGACCGGTGCTGGCAAGTCCAGCATCATGTCGACGCTGTTCCGTCTTGTCGAGATTAGCGGCGGCCGCATCAGCATCGATGGCATTGACATTGCGACCATTGGTCTCCACGATTTGCGCTCGCGCCTCGCAATTATTCCCCAGGATCCCACACTCTTCCGCGGCACGGTCCGCAGCAATTTGGATCCATTCAATGAGCACAACGACTTGGAGTTGTGGTCGGCGCTCCGCCAAGCCGATCTGGTCACGGACGAGGCCGAGCAGCAGGCCATGTCCGGAGCCGCCAGTGGTGGCGCCAGTGGCAGCGGGAGTGGCAGTGGTAGTGGTAGTGGCAACAAGACTGGCGCTGTGAGCAGTTCTGTTGTGCCGGAGACCCATTCACCAGCGACGGCTGGTCGTGAAGCGACGCGCATCGGCTTGGACAGCGTTGTAGAGGAAGACGGCTTGAACTTCTCGTTGGGCCAGCGCCAGCTTATGGCCCTGGCACGTGCACTGGTGCGTGGCAGCCAGATTATCGTGTGCGACGAGGCCACGTCGTCGGTGGACATGGAGACGGACGACAAGATCCAGGCGACCATCGCCTCGGGCTTCCGTGGCAAGACGCTGCTGTGCATTGCGCATCGTCTGCGGACCATTATTGGTTACGACCGCATCTGTGTCATGGACCAGGGCGCCATTGCCGAGCTGGACAACCCGATGGTGCTGTACCAGAACGAGAACGGCATCTTTCGTGGCATGTGCGACCGGAGCGGCATTCGTGCGGACGACATCAGCGCTGCCCAGGACAAGCTGGAGAGCTATGTCGCCAGCCAGGCGGGCAAGGAGAAGGTGCAGTTGTAGGTGTAGAAGCAGCGTCTGCATGTTTGCTTGTCATATCGGCGGTCTTTTTGTTGAAACCAAGACGCCTAGTACCAACTATGATACCTTTGCTTTGTTATGTTTGACATTCTGAAATCCGAGAGACGGACCGGAAGAAGGAGAAGAAGAAAAAGTCATTTGCCGTTAGTTACGTCTGCTTTTCGTCCATATAATAGCCCATGGAGCGAGCTCATTGTTTATTACCCATAGAAAAATTAGTACAAGTAATACAAAAAACAGCAAACCACGTTCGTTCCCTTTTCTAGTCGCATCGGGGTGACCTTGTACGCAAAGGCTGTCGCAATTCGTAGCAAGACTCGCTGGACGTCGTTTGGGGATGGTGTCGTTTCGCGGCAAGGAAGATTGACAAGAAGAGAGAAATTGAGAGTCCTTTGTTTTCGTGAGCAGTTTTTGTGGCGCAAAGGCAAGAAATATCACGGTCGACTCCATATGGCTCCAAATGGGCAGGAGTCAGACGGTCGTCCCTCCCCGGTGTTTCCCTGTGTAACACCCCCCTGAAGCTCGTTCTTGCTCGTTCTTGCTCGTTTACCAGACTTTGCTTTGTACAGGCAAGAACGACAATCTGTGCTCGTTTGCTCTTGCCACTGAAACAAACGGCTTCGCCTTCAGCGCGTTACGTGTTCTTTCTTCGTCTGACGAACCAAAACCAGCAGCTTTACGCGAGCTCACGTCTCACGTATCGCTCGTTCCCATACTTTCGGCCAATGAAGCAGTAGTGGTTGTTATCGAGCCGTGAGCGAATACAAGGAAAGGTGTTAACACGGTGGCTACGCTATGGTCAAATACTGCGACCAAAAATACAAGACGAGGTGGCCTGCAAGGCTGAATCCCAGAATGTAAGTGGAAGGTCCGGTGTGGCTATGCATTGCTGTACACGACAACAAAGGATGCGGCCGAGACATTGGTGTCTCTAAACAGCCAACTGCTCAGTTAACTCGGTATTTCTAAACGAGAGACAGGGCTCAGTCTCATTGCAGGAAAGGGTACGGCGCAGACCATTCCAATACTTGCAGGCACAGATACGATCTGTTTCTGATGTAAAACAGCAGGCGGGAATCTTCGTGCACTTTGTCAAGATGTATGTACCTCAATACTCACCTGCCGACATGTCTGAGCAAGATGAGAAAATTTACGAAAAACTCGAGCCGGTTTTGGCCACCGACGCGACATTGGAGCAATGATGGAACATAGTAAAATATATGGGATCTGAGGCTATGGCATATGCTACAAACGTACCACGAAACGGAAAGTGGACTAGCGAAGATAGGACAAAGATCATGACGAGATAATCAGTCGACCGCGACTCCTCTTTCATGCTGGGACACGCGTTGTCCAAAGAAAACAAGAACAGGGCAGGGGAGGCTGCTGCAGGAGAGTTGATGAGCCGTGCCGGGACGTGGAAACTGGGTCAGAAAGTGCCCACACATGCTACCCGTCGCTCTCCCACCTTCGCACCCCCCAGATTCCAGAATTAGGTTGACGAGCCGAGCCCATCTTTTGTAGAAAGCAACCAGGTAGATAGAAACAAGTAAAAGAGTAAAAAAAAAAATCAGACTGAAAAGGAAAAAGCACAGAAGCCTTGGTAGACCAAAAAGAAATGAATCGAAAAGAGTAAAGAAATAAAACCGTTAGATCTGCCGCCGAAACCGTATAAAAACGCCGTTGAACTCATCGCGCTTAGAGATGGCCAAATATATCGAGAAGACAAAGCAGGAACAGGACGGAAACAAGCATGAACACTGCGGCCCTGCCGATATCCGTTCCCTCCCGCAAGGAAATGTATATTACGCAAATGTCATGTACAGAGTACAGATGCGTGCGGTGTACGTAGAGACACACGCGCCGCAACACGCCGCAACACGCTCCAACAGCTGTATCGCTCTAGCCCTGGAACCGACTAGAACCGGCTGCCACCGTGGCTGGACTGGCTGTACGAGTGATTGTGTGATGGGCCCGTGCCGGGGGGGAACAGATGCGGCTGGTCGTCCAGCAGGTCATCGAGAAACGCACTCGGGGCGCGACCGCTCGCGGGGCGGTTGAGGCTGACGGAGCTGCCGCTCATGTTGCGGCCAGCGAGGTTCGTGCGCATGGGGCCAAAGTTGGGCGAGTCGGGCGGGCTGGGCCCAATGTTCCGGCCGTGGCGCGAGTCGGGACGCAGGTTGGACATGTTGATAGCTTGTCCTTGTGCTGCACCCGCAGGCGAAGCAGTCCCGGCAGCGTAGAAGCCCGACGGCAGCAGTCGGGAGTCGCGGTTGCCGCCGGCACCCATGCCGCTCGCACCGGGAGCCGTGGGCGAGAAGAACAGGTTCGTCTGCGAAGGCGTGGCCGACGGCGTAGGACCGCGGTTGGTACGGCGGACGCCGCGTCCCGAGCCAGCCACGCTGCCAGGACCGGCAGCGCCAACATTGAGCGACGATTCGCGATCCGAGTACTTGTAAAAGGGCGCGGCGGCGGGAGCAAAGGTAGCCTTGTCGTTTGCAGCGTGCTGGGCCAGGGCAGCACGGGCGATGGAGCGGTGCAGCAGGTAGGCCACGACGGCACGCCAGACAAGCAACGCGGCGGCAAAGCCACCGAGAATGGCACCGACGGCAATGAAGACCGTGCCATCCGGCAGGTTGGAGTGCTGCATGAAGGGCGCGTTCTCAGTCGGGGGAACGGTCGGCGCCGGGTACGCGGGTATACCGGTGTCGGTCGTCTTGAGCGTCGGCAGGTTCAGCAAGGTGGTGGTACCCGGAGTGGTCAGGGTAGGCACCGAGGCCGTCTCGGTCGGACTCTGACCGCCGGTCGGCGTGATGACGACAGTCCCCTGGGCGCTCGAGCTCTGGGGTGCAGGGGAGCTGGAGGCTGGATCGGCCGACGACTGCTGCTTGGGCGTGTTCTTTGGGGTCGACTTGGCCGGCGTCGAGGCAGGCGGAGGCGGATTCGAAGACTCTGGTGCGGGTGTGGACTTTTCTGCCGGGGTAGTAGGAGTACCCTTGGGGTTTGTCGTCTGTGTCTTCTGGGTTGCGGGATTGTTGGTGTTGGTTGCCTTGTTCGGGGTGGTGGTGTCCGCGGCCATGGCGGTGGCGGAGAAGAGCGACACAGCGACGACCGCCGAGAGGAGAAGCGTCCGCTTCAGCGAGACGCGTGACCGACTCATTTTCATAGTCGGTTGTGTGCTGAGGAGACGATGCAGGGGCAACGCTGTGGTGACGAGGTGAGCCAGACGCGGTGCAACGGCCGAGACACTGTCACGCTATGCTGCTGTATCACGCGGAAGAAGGTGCGAGAGCGATGTGAGAGCGAAGGCAATAAGAGACGAGCGTGCCCAATATAGCCAACAAAGTACTGAGAAACCGCAGATGGTTACGTATCAAACTTTGTATTGCGAGGAAGACGGCGTAGGAGATGGTAAGGAGGGCCGATGGAAAAGGTCGAAAAATGAGGCAAAAGCGCGCGTAAAAAAACGAAAGTAAGGCGGCGTGAAAGCGAAATCGAAATGAAATGAAAATCGAAATGAAGGAGAGAGAACGAAAGGACGCGGTCGAGAAGACAAGGTCGATGGCCGCCGGCAATACGATGAGCGGATGTCGATGTGTCGCTGTTGTTGTGAGATGCTAAAGGCGAGGAAAAGAGAAAACGAATGCTGAAGCAGAAGTTGGGAACAATTTACTGGAGACCAGCGGAAACGAGCGAACACGAGGCAGGAGGCAATGGGGGCAGACCAAGAAAGGGGAAAGGATGTGCCAAATGAGGAAACAGGGAAAGTAGGCACAGTGGGTGGGCTGAAAGCTGCGGGCGAACTACGAAGTACGAATACAGCCAGAGCGGGACTCGACACTCTCGTATATTATGGAGACCAGGGCCAAAAAAAGAACGGAAAGCACGCCAAGCAACACGCAGGGGAAGGCAGAGGTGAGAAATGTTGAGGGACTGTGTCGAGGAAAGTACGCCATTTAGCGGGCAGACGGCAAGAGAGGCGAGAGGGCCTCAATGGCATGTCTGAGAAGGACGGGACAACAGTTCTGGCGCCTGCAGGGCCCTGGAGTGCCCTGACAGCGCCTCCATAGCGGCTACCGTAAGGGGAAACACAGGGCACACAAGGGGGATAAAAAGGGGAAACAGTGCGCAACGGGATGTTTTGCGCGGTGCCTTGCTCCTTCCCCGTGCCCCGTTTTAGTTTAGACACCTGCCGATGCCACTTTGCGTTAGTAACAAGCAAAGACAGTGCGAAGTCGATCACGGGCACTCGAGCGCTGAGCTCGAAAAAGGAAGACGACAAGAACAAGACAATGCGCTGCTACAATGCCCGGATGCGATGGCTTTTCAACGGCCTGTGCCTGCATTTGTGGTCCAGTCTCCTGTCATGCTGCAGCCAATATGCTCTCCCCCAGCATTCGGTAAACGCGCCGTTGCGCGACGTTGCACGACAATCAAAAGCAATCACGATTTGCATAGGCCAGTACTGTGATGGGATTGCGTGTGGCTGGGTATTCGCACGGTGCAGACTAGTCGCTTTACTAGCCCATCGAGAGAGGTGGGTCGGTCCTTCCTTGATCGTGCATTTTGGCAAATACTAGAGAAGCAAACGTCAAACGGCGCCAACACACCCGCTGTGACAGTGGTTGAGTTCTGCACTGTAAAAATGCACGGTGTAGTTACCTTATCATACAAATTCAAGGCCACAGCTCAGCCACGCATGACTGAGCATAGTGCCATTTTAGGGCGGATGCACTTCGCCCAGAACCATTTCTCCTCAGTTTCGATTTTGGCGGGACGTTATCGCGATAAGAAAAGTTGCCGCGCTCCAGCCAAAAAAAAAGTCGAGATCCATATCTACCGCTCGCTTCACAGCAATGGACAGCGCTTCATCAATATAAAACACAGCACCCCGTCTTCGCCTCTTTGTGGTTTCATTCCATACCACCGATCCATCGCAACTGCACACGACCGCAAACATGGGTGTCGCCAAAAAGACCAGAAAGTTTGGGCAGGCAAGTTTTTATTTGTTTTGTTGCACGGACAATGCATGTGGCGTCATCGTGAGATGGCCCGTCTGTGAGGACACAGTGGCCGTCGGCTAACCCGTACCATCCACCCCGACAGATGAAGAGGGTGATCGGACAACGTGATGCCCGCTTGAAGAAGAACAAGGACAAGGCCGAGCTGGGGACGAAGAAGGCCGAGGCCGAGGCGTCTTCCGAGCTCATCCGTTCCGTGTATGTGTTATGTTTTTGCCCTCCTTCTCTCACATCGCCTCCTCCTACCGTCGTATACTAACGCTGTGGCAGCCCGCAAATGTCCATCTCTCTCTTCCACAAGGCCAACACAGCGCTCGTACCGCCTTACCAGGTCCTCATTGACACAGTATGCTGCCTCCGTCTTGCCATGGCCGCTGGGCTGATTGTTCTTGCATGATTGCATCATTGCATCCTTTCATGCGCTGACGTCGCTGCAGAACTTCCTTTCACACACTGTTCAGCGCAAGCTGCCATTATTAGAAACGATGGTAGGTCATTTTTCTGGGCAGACGCGAGGTCCGCCAGCGCCATCGCTAACCGTGTGTGCAGATGGACTGCCTCTACGCGACATGCCGGCCCATCATGACCGACTGCGTCATGGCCGAGTTGGAGAAGCTCGGCCCCAAGTACCGTATCGCGCTCAAGATTGCCCGAGACGAGCGGTGGGAGCGGTCAAAGTGCACCCACAAGGGTATTTATGCCGATGACTGCATCTTTGACAGAATCGTCCGCCACCGGTATGTACCTCGTCCCTTTCCGTCTTCAGCTTGTCCGCCCCGTCCTCATTGCTTCGCTACCGATTCATGAGCTAACTTTGTTTGCAGTACTGTATGTTACATATTCTATTCACTGCTCGCGAATCTTTCTTTCCTTTCTTGGGCCGTGTCCACCGACCCTACGACATGTGCGAACCCGTATGGCCAACGAAGGATTGCATGCTAACTTGGATGATCACAGTATATCGTGGCCACCAACGATCGCGACCTAAAACGACGAGTCCGCAAGGTGCCCGGTGTGCCGTAAGTGCAATCCGAATCCCTCCGTCCTCTGACCTGACCTGTCGTCTTCCAATTTCCGTTTCAATTTCGCTCCAATTTCGAAACTAACATCTTGCCTGTCTAGAATCATGAGCGTCGCACGGGGCAAGTACGTCATCGAGAACCTGCCAGGTGCACCGGTGTCATGAGCCCATTGCGCTGAGAGTTGTCTCGAATGCGGAAGGCTGCTGTTGCTTTGTATTTGCGCGGTTCACTACTCTATCGCCCAAGTCATCTTTGTGTGCGGTGTTGGGCGTTCAGGTATCTCTCGCTGGTTCATAGTTTTGCATCGTTTACAATTCATAGATAATGGTCATGATTCACAGTTTTGCTTCTACGGCATTTTACGAAATAAGCAAGTGCAAAAGGCGCGTAGACGGGAACAACATAATGGGGAAGCATCTACGCCAGGGGCACATTTGCTTTCGTGATGCGTCATCATATTTAAAGATTTGTAATCTCGTTTGATTCCCTTGCTGTCATCTGCAGAGAAAACAATGCTATCCCGACATAAAGCGCAAAATCCCGCCGTTCCTGACACCCGTAAAGTTCCAATCCACCTTTTTATTTCAACACACCATGATTTTTTGTTTCTTTTCGATAACCAAACCGTACCCCTCTGTAAATGAAAAAAAAAAAAAAAAAAAAAAAAAAAAACGCCGTGGGCATGATGGGTCATTGCGACGAGACCGTAACGCGGACAGTGTATATAAAACGTAAAACAAGACAAAGGAAAGCCTTTTCGGAAGAGGCGGTAGATATATCAAGACGGAACATATGTAGATATGTCCACCGAATAGATAAACCCCGCGTCCCCCCCCTCGCCCCTTTTCCATGACAATGAAGTGTCTGGTTTTCATAAAATTTCATTTCTCGTCGCCGTAAATTCAATTGTTTCTGGAACAAACAAGAGAATAATTTTTGGGTTTTGCTCTCCTTGTAAATCATGTCCCAAGCTCCGGCTCGCTTGCAGGTGCTTTGAAAATAGAAACTGCTTGCTGAGTGACGGGCCTGTCTGCAAGATGGGGAAAACAAATGATAACGACGGTAGGAATTGACACGAAACGGCAGGCAATGCGAGACCAGGTAGTATCGTTGGGAGAGGGTTGAATTAGCTCGCAATGACACCAGAGGCGCTGCATGACCTGCCGCCATTAGTCGGTGGATTCGCAGATGGCTACGGCTCTAAGGCAGCCACTCTTCGTCGTCTCGTGCGGTAACGCGCATAACCAAGCCGTCGTCGTCTTCTTCGTCCTCGTCCTCGCCCTCCTGTTCGTTCTGCGCAACAACCAATTCGCCGACTGCACCACCATTCGAGCGTTGTGCCGGCATATGTAGCTGCTGATGCTCATTGCTCGGAGTCGGGTCGTCGTCTTCCTCGCCATTGTCCTCTTCATCGTCCTCGTCCTCCTCCATCCATGTCAGGCCATTTGCCTGCTCCTCGAGAGGGAAGACCTCACGCGCGTACTCCTCGAGCCCACGTGGGGCCTCCCAGAGATTTAAGGCAACGGACGGCACATCCTCGTCGAGGGTTTGGCTGCCAAAGTATGGTGGCTGCTTCTTCGGGTCGTCGCCGCCGAGCATAAACAGCTTCTCAAGGCCAACCAACTGGGCGCGGTACCCTTCGGGAACAGGCACGTTGATACGGATGGGGCCCCGCTTGTACTTGACGGGGCGGCCAACACCTCTTGAGAAGTGGCGGCAGGCCTCACGCGGTGAAAGCATCTCGTAAGCCAGGGCAATACGCTGACCACGTCCCCACTTTGCCACACCGTCCTTGAAAATCTGCAAAATGGCCGGACCAACATCGTGTTCAGCGTCAAGCCAGGGCAACTTGGCGTCTGGATGGAATGGTGCCTCCCAGACGAAGGAGCCGTCTGGTTGCAGGTCCATACAGAACAGCGGGTATTTGAGAGAGGTGAAGTTGTTGTTGTAGATGCCCGTGTAGACAAAGGTCGACGGGAGGCCGATCTTAAAGATGTACTCCTCCACCCGGTGCTTCGCCGCCCACAGCGGCAGTGACGGCCAGTACGCATCGTAGGCGTTGTGCGCGGGCATCGACGAGTAGACGTAGTGCTGGACACCAGCCTTCTTGGCAGCATCCGCGAGAGCCTGGCCAATCTCCAGCTCATCACCATAGAAAGTCGTGTTGATAAAGGCCAACTGTGCTCCGCGGAAGAGCTCGTTGATCAGTTCGTGGTTGACGCCGATACCGGAGAGTGAAGGGCCTTCGCCCGTGACATCAATGTCCTCGGCGAGCGAGACGCCCTTGGCCTTGTCTGAGTCGGAGCGCGGCAGGCGCGTGTACAGCTCGCCCTCAAGGACTGTCACGTTGTCGTTTGTTGCAACCTCCGTAGCAATGACGCCTAGCTGGTTGCGCATCTGGGCGCGCACATGGTAGCCGACAGCCGTGGCATAGCGAATCAGCGAAGCTGCTTGGCGACCACTGGCATTGATGACGGCAATGGTCTTGCCTGGGGCCGGCATGGAGCGCTTTGCTGGCCGAAAAGTCAGAGAGTTGTTTCGAGAGATGAGCGGGGAGGCGTCCGAGTACGAGGACCGGGCGTGCTTTTGGCGCTTGTCTTCGAAGCTGTGACCGTTGGCGGAGCCGTTCAGGATGGGAATGCCGACAGGGGCGCCGTTTGTACGAGCACTGCTGGCGCCGTTTATTACAATGTCGTGGTTATTTGTCGGAGCTGGCCGTATGGCAAGATCCGTGCGAAGTTCTCCAGGCATTTGAAGTGGTGCAAGCGGTCGCCCTCCTAAAATAGGAAAAGAAAGCTTCCCCAGGGAAGGAGGGGTGGTAACGTAGGAATATTTCTATGCGGGTGAGCACACAGGGCGTTGTGTGTGTGTGCGTCGCGCGCGTGTCGTAAGGCGGGAGGGGCGGATGTCGAATCGGAGGGAGAGGGCTCTATGTTGGGAGGAAAAAATCAAGACGGAAAACCAAAACGGTAAAAGAACGAAAAGGTTGTGAAGAGAAAGGGCAACAGAGAAAACAGAATCGAGTTCCCAGGACTCTTCTCAGTCGTACCGTTTTAGATGGAGACCAGAATCAGCAAACTCCCACAAAAGTAATGTGTTTTTCTCTTCTTTCTTTTTCTCCTCGAGTTTCGTGGTTTGTCAGACTGTTGAGCCTATCGTGAATCCCTCGGTTTGCGTGAACGGGAAAATACGCGGTCGTTAAGAAAATGAAAGTCATCGACCGACGGCAGTAATTAGTTTCCTATACAGGCAAAGCCAATGCACCCTGAGGGGTAGTGGTCAGGGGCCAAAGCAAATGTCTCCTCTTTAAAATTTTCCAGCGCAACAAACGTGCTGCTACATTTTTTTTTGTTAGTGGATCCGAGAACCGTTTTCTTTCTTTCTTGCTGGGCGGGCTGAATGACACGGTTGGGGTCCATGCCAGTTTGGTAGTTTCGGCGGGAGAAAGGAAGGAAAGGAAAGGACTCTAGTCACTCATTATAAAAGACGGCATGCAGTTAGCTTTAGTCTAGAGCTACTGGCTCTTTAGTTTGGCGGGTAATGCACCTGCTGGCCTTGACAGCAAAAACCCCCATTGGCACGTAGCAAGCCCAGAAGCTAAGACCGGGAAGCACGATCCTGCAGCATAAAGAGAACGGTAGATTGGACCTAGGGGAGAGAAAGTGGCAGGAGACGAAAAAGGTCTGCCTACAGACGCTGGACGCCGTGGCAGCCAGAAGGAAGATGGAGTATGATGAAGCCGAAGAATGGATTGTTGTCAGAGAAAGATGGCGATATCATGGCGACATTGATGCCCAGCTGGGCAAGAGATTGATGAAAACAAAAGGCAGTCCGAAAAAAAAAACGTAAAAAAGCTGATATGACATGACGATATGGGTGAGAACAACAACGTGATGCGAGAGAGGGGTATGGAATTAGATCTAGCCGAACCCATCCACAACAACACAGGGAATAAGACCACATCGGCCTAGAACGGAGGCGGGGAGGGGTTTGTTGAAGATGGTGGTGGCCAGGTTGCTAGACGAACAAGATGGACAGGTCCAGGCAGATGAGGCAAATGCCCCCCCGACCGAGTGTTGGTGTTTGGTCTTGGCCGTCGGTTTGGTTTGAAGGCAGTAGACCAGTGTAGGGCTAGGGATGGGGGAGGGGTGGGTGATGGAGGAGGGACAACATTGGTGACTGGGGATCGTGGTAAGAGGGGTGGGAGGAAAGACGTCGGATTTGCAGATTGTGGAGAAGGAAAAGGAATTGGTGGAGCAAGGAAACAAAATAAAAGGCTGACAACCAACGACACCCATGTGGCTACTTACAAGTGTTTTGAGGTTGGGCGGCGTCGTAGCCTGGGGTCTTTTCCGACTTATTGATTTTGGGCCAATCGGCGTAAACAGGGCGCCGTCGTGGTATAAAGCTGTGGATGTGAGCATGAAGCAATAAGAGGCGGCCGCCGAGCTGAATCACAAAATGCAAAAGTCTGAGCGGGGGGAAAGTAAACAGATGGAATCGATGCAGGAGTAGGCAGTGCTCGTAAGAAAGTGGGCGGGAAGAGGGGAAAATTGGCCAAGGAAAGCGCGGAAGTATCGTGAGTTTTTCGAACGGTGTGTGTCGTACTCCTTGTGCTTCTTAGCCCGTCGGGCCGGCTGGACGCAAGGTCGAAACGAGCATCACAGGGCAATGAGAACCTAGGAGTAGTGCAGGACTAGCGGGGACTCAATTCTGTCCTCGTGGTCAATTTTTTTCGTCTGTCGCCAGGCACGATGCTGCTTCTTGTTGTGCTCTTGTCGTGCTTGTGGTTTTCGTCCCTTGTCTGTTTTCAGTTCATTCCCGCCCAGAGCCGTATCTTTTGTCCGCTTTCGTTTCCAGCCGGGAGGTTACCAAAAGAGCCCTCATTCAAAAAGGAAATGTACTCGGCCACAGGGGAAGAAAATCCCGAGGCGACAAAGTGTCGTGTGATGCTGGCAAGATACTGGGGACGTATTGATGAACCAATCGAGGCAAGTCCAGGAGTGAGATCTCGGGGGATCTAGAGTCGCTGCAGATGGGCTGGACAAAATGCAAATACAGCTAAAGGACGGGCCAGAACCATGTTGAGACGCGGATGCAGAGGAGATGGAAAGCGGAGTAAAGGAGATGGGAGGCCGTGAAAGGCAGGGGGAATGAAGGAAAGAAAAAGGGAAAACAAAGAGCAAAGGAAATTGTGGATTGATTAGAAAAGCAACGAAAAGCAACGAGAATTCAGAGAGTTATGACGCATGGCGTTGTCGCATGAAGAGCTGCAACAAGTGTTGCACTGCTGCTCCAGGCAGTTCGAGATAAGAAAAAGCCGTTTGCTTGCTTACCTTGTTCAAGTGACCAGCACGGACCGGCGAGATACCAGATATAAGCAAGGCGAAGAAAGACGAAATTAAACAAAAAAGACAAAGAGTGTGAATATCAGATCGAAAAGCAAAGATACGTCGAAGGTGAACTGGCAGTTGATCGCTGTTGCGAGGCACAATCGAAGCAACCGGTACGGAGTAAGAGGTGAAGGGATGCTTGTGTCACCCAAAGGGGCAGGTATTGTCGCGAAAGACCAGGACGAGATAAAGCACACAAGGTGAACTGCAAGAGGCGAAAGTCTTTGACAGAATAGCCAACCGTGAGTGAGTGTGCCTCAGCGATGTCGCAATCTGTTTCTTGTAATTTGCGCCCTGGGCTGGAAATAGTGTTGCCGTTTTAGGCTGACCTGACACACATATGCACCGTTTCAAGGGACAACTGGCTGTATGTAGTAAGTCTGTTGTGTGAGGGAACGTAGCACCACGAGGCTAGAGCCAAAGTGGGCGAATTGGGGCCCGCCTCGAGTACCTGATAAGACAAGGAGACGGTCGTCGGTTGCGCACCACAGTATTTCCCAAAGTGTCTCTCTGTCCGACAAGTGTTCAGGGCGGAGGTCCGTCGTACGCGGTGCTGAGATCGGCTTCGTGTAGTCCTTTTCGTCGTACGTGCAAGAAGCGATTCTCTGTCCAAAAGGCTTCTGAGTTGAGTTGAGGTCAGGGAAGAGAGGGGCGACAGCGCAGGGGTGTGCCGTTTTTGCTGTCCTTGCGAATCTGATAAGAACCTTTCCATGGATGCGCACGCAATGTGATTGGTCGAAAGGCACCGGGATCGCAAAAATGACGAACACAAATTGTCAAAGGGCGAAGCGGCTTGTTGAAAAACAGCAGTGGGAATTAAGAGATTGAGAAAAGATGACGGGGCAAATAAACAAAGAACAGAGATGGCCAAACAATGGGGGCAAAAATTGGAATACGGGATAAAGCAGGAAGGAAAGAAGCAGATTGAGCGAGGAAAGACAGCAGCCGTACCTTCTGTTTGGGCCAAGGAAGGTGCAAACGGATGCTGGATGCGAAACGGGCAACGGCGAGTCAGCCTGTTCCAAAAAGGCCCCGAAACGGACTGGAAAACTTTTTCTCGCCTCTGGTTGGCTCTGCACTCTGCAGAACACATTGCTAAAACGGTGCCGCTCGGCATGGCTCATACGGGAGGAGGGGTTCAGGAATGGCAAAGAGATACGGCCGACTACTCCGTACAATAACGCATTTCCGGGAGTATCTGCAATTCTTTCGCTGTTGGCCGATTGCACCTGCCGTTCCTCCCGCCCTGTCTTGCCACTTTCTGTTTTGGGGACATGTTGCTGCTCGCACTGAGGATCGAACTTGCTTGGGAAAGAAGGATGGGCGACCGACAGGAAGGCGACAGAAGGGGGTTGAGATTAGGTAAAAAGCGAGCCGCGAATTGGTCCAAGGCAAGCTGGTGCTGGGCTGAGCGTCAAATCGGCGCCGACCCCAGTTTCTTCCTCCCTGGCGGCGCGCATGGGCCAAGTTTGACCCGGTAAACAAGCACATCGGCTCAGCAGAGGAGCAAAGAACAAATCCGTTTCGGCATCACCGCATGTGGGAAGTTGAGAGTGAGATGCCGCGATCGCAAAAGACGAAAAGATCGAGGGGAAATAACGACCAGAGTGCTACGGAAGGAACATCAAGACAGATAGGGGATTGCCTTCATTTAAGGACGTTTGAGACTGGCTCTTTCTCTCCTTATCCGTGATCGCTCAATTCGTTCTTTCCCCCCATACGGCGGACGTACTGATAACGATGCTGGCAGCATTCGTGGGTGAGGGAAGGCACGATCCAGAGACCCAGTGTGGAGGTTACGGAATAGGCTCGAGTCACTATCAATTCCCCACGGCGCGCGATAAAGCTGTGCAGCGCAGCGATGTAGCGAGAACTGTCGGTGTGTCTGCCTTCCTGGCCATATCATATCTTTGCATTTGCAGAGTGGGATATCAGAGAGACACAGTCGCGGACAGGTCGAAAACGGCAAGGTGAATGTCTAAAATTGGGCGCGTCCGAACAGGGCCCAGACTTGGCCCTGAGCCATTCTCGCAGCTTCCTCTCCCAATGCGCTACGAGGCTACTTGGTCCTTCCCCCCTTCTGCGCGTCAATCGTCCATGGTTTGATGCAGAGGGCTGGCAACATTTGGCGGAAGGCGCGTTGTGTACCGCCAGGCAAGAGCACACCTGCGGTTCTTACAGGCAAGGCAATTACGATGTATGACGTCCGCCAGGGGGCTTGTCCTACTGAGATTGGGTGCGTTCGCGACTTCCTCATTGGTACATTAGGATCGTTGATAACAATTTGGGACGCGACTGGCGAGACGGTCACAGTTGAACCCCGCATGCGATTCCTGATCGAGACGGACGCATGCTGGCATGCTGTTTGTTGCTGTTTTCACAGCCTGACAACACGCCCCTCAATTCCGATGTCTTGCCAAACGGTCGGGATTTGCTTTTGCCCGTTTCGCGTGGACCCACTTGCAAGGGATCTGCCTTTCCTTTTCCAATACGGAAGCACGGCGCACGTGAGCAGCGCAACGGTTGGATTCAGGACGGGAATCTATCACCAGCGTGCATCGTGGCATCGTGGCATCGTGGCATCGTGGCATCGTGGTCGCCATCGAGTGCCTGCATCCCGCGAGACGCCAACCAAGACGTCAGAAGCAATCAGAATTTGCAAATGGACCAGCGGACTGGATCTTCAGGTCACGAGCGCGGCATCAAGTGGATTCCATCTCGTTATAGATTGCTCGAAGAGAGGAATAGCAGGGGAACGAGGTCCAAGGCAGTGGACGTTCTTTGGGTCTTGACAATGTCAAAACATCAAATTAAAAAGGTCTTATCAGTTTCGTGGTCGATCGTGGACGCGCACCCTGATAGGTCCAAGGCTGAATGGTTGTCTAAACGTTGTCTAAAGCCATAACTAACACAAAGGGCGGCAGCGAAACAGAATGCAGCGTTCTGCCATGCAAAGGTGTTTCCATTACACAAAGAAAGACAGGGAACGGGGCTCTGGGGGAGCAGACTGGTAAAACAAAGATCATTGCAAATGGTGGCGTGGAGGTTTGAACAACAGAAAAAAAAAGTCTGGAAAACAGTACGACAAAAACTGTGAGAAAGTGGGCCGTTCAGCGTTTCGATTACGTACAATCGGCGTCTCTCTAGGCGTCCTGGGGCGACCTTTGGGCGGGCATTGGGCTTCTCAACGATAAATCGACGACGTATCTTGGCTGGACGGACCTGAGAGAACCGTTTGAGCCGCGTTTTTGCTAGCGGCGAGGCGGACATCTCCGCGGACTGGCAACCTGCTGAATTCAGAGCCTGTGATTGGTCGACAGACGGCTGTCAACACGGCGACAGTTTTCTTATCAGCGGCCTAACTTTTGGTGGGCCAGGACGCTGCTCACATGGTCCCGATGGTGTCTTGTGCGAGACAGTTGGCTGTTCTACTACGTACGGCGTATGTCGTACTGAGCATGCCGCACACACATGATTGACTCGTGTTTTGACGCCGTCCTTTTCATCATTTGGATTGCTGGTGATGCGAGGGCCTATGGCTGCAGTTGTATACTTTGACCTATTTTATCAATTAAATTTGAACTAATTTCAAATCGACTGTTTTGCCGGTCGGCTCGAGACACCATGTGCGTTCCCACTGCGGCGGACGGTGGGACTCGTCACAGCGACGCTGCTCACCGCAAGATGCCAAGGACGAGACGGCCTCGGCCGAGGAGGCGCTGCGCTGCGACGGAACATGTATGGGACATGTATGGATATGTATGGACACATAACAAACAGCACGTCGGGCGAGTTTTGTAGTCTTCCGCGTCCTACTCCGTCGATGTTCCCCACTGTAGTACGAGGAACTACCTTGTCCAGGCCCGCACACCAGCTCGCACCTACTGCAAGTTTGGATCCGGCTGGTCCCACATGCCGGCGGCGACGTAGTTGATGTCGTTGATGACCGAGTTCTCGCCGGTCCACTCGGTTTCTTGGCTGTTGACAACGCGGATGCCACTGTCGACGGTGCCCCAGTCGAGGGCGTCGAGGGACAGCGGGATCCACGAGTCGTAGCGCGAGGGAGCGCCCATGTTGTTGGTGGCGCCGGCGGGCAGCTGGGGGGGCGGGACGAGATCGCGGCGGGAGAAGCCCATCTGGGCGTCGCTACCCGACATGTCGAGGGACGCCGGTGGCGGTGGCTGGCCCAGGGGATGGGCGGCGGGCATCACAGTGTCTTTTATGCCGACTGTCTTGTTAGGTGTCGTGTAGATGAAAAAAAAAAGGACAAAAAAGGACAGGACAAAGGTAGCTTACGAGTCTGGAGAGTGGCCTGCGACAGGGCCGGCACGCCGCCGACAAAGACCGGATCGACCTGGCCGTGCAGGCCCCCCATCCCTGTGGACTGTGGGGTATTGTAAGAATGGGAAGAGTGGCCCGGCTGCGACGACGGGTGTGACCACTGCGCCGAGGCGGAGCGGGCGTTTTGCTGTTGCTGGTGGTGGTCGGGCTGGGTCTCTTGGCGGTTGTCGGGCGGCGGCGCCCAGTCGGGCGGGCTGCCGTTTTCGCGAAGCTCGCGGGCGTAGATTTTGCGCAGCATGACGTTGAGCAGGTCGGCGGCCTTGAGGGTGTCGCTGTTCCTCTCGGCGGCGTCGGTCCAGATGCGGTGGGAGCGGCGCAGCAATTCGATGAGGGCGTTGCGATCCACCGGTAGCGCGGGCGGGACATCGTAGTCTGCAGTGGCGGTCGCTGCTGCTGGTGCTGCTGTGCCAGTCGACCCAGGCGCACTGCCTCCGGAGGAGGAGACCGAGGCAGACGTCATTGCACTACCGCTGCTGCCGCCGCTGCTACTGGTTGCTGGCCCGGACGGCGTCGCCGTTGCCGCCGCTTCAGTATTGCTCATGGGGCAACTCGTACTGCCGCCACCGCCATCACGGCTCGTCAGCAGCTCCGACTCAAACAGGTTGTCGTTCTGCACCACCAGGTACACAATCATGGCCGCCAGCAGGAAGTCGTGCATGCCGAGCCCCGTGATGAACCAGCCAATGTGGTGCAGTAGGCCGCCCGGCTGCGTGGCCTCGTGGATGGCCTCGTGGTAGGCGAGCAGGGTCAGCGCGGACTGCAGGCAGGTGCGGCGCGAGTAGGCGTGCTCGGGCAGCGGGACGGCCTCGACGAGGTAGGGGCGGTGCAGCACGCAGCGGCTCTTTTGGTAGAGCGAGGCGATGCCGAAGCGCTGGATGACCTGCATGGGCGGGTCGGCCACGCAGTCGCCGAGCGGGCGGACCTTCATAAAGGCCGGGATTTGGCGCCACTTGTCCTCGAGCAGGCGGTCGGTGCGCAGGACCTCGGCGTACTTGGGCGGCGTCAGCGTGTGGGCGAGACGGGCGACCTGGCCGAAAATGCGGCAGAGCATGCTCTTGAAGATGGGGTAGCTCATGACGGTGTACTCGGAGTCGGGCCGCGGCGGCGGCAGCACGGGCGAGTCTTCGTTGAAGTCCTCGTCCAGCAGGTTGTGTGCCAGGCTCGTGTCGCTGGGGATGCCGTGGATCATGCTGGGCAGGCCGAGGTAGAAGGAGACGATCAGGTCGATCTGGATGGCCAGGTTCCACAGCCGACGGCGCATCTCGCCCTCAAAGGCGGAGATGTTGGGCAGGCGGCTGGGGTCGCGGTGCAGGCCCATCTTGAGCATGAGCCGGATGCACACCGCCAGCAGCAGGAAGCAGTTGGTCTGCGTGGCGCGGTTGACGAGGAACTCGGACTCGGCAAACATGAGCATCGCGCGGACCGTGTGCAGGTTGGGGCTCGAGAAGCGGTTCAGGCCAAGCGCCGCCGAGGCCGCGCCCCGGTACACGCGGTACCGTTCCGTCGGGGTCATGCCAGTGCCGTCCATGTCGAGCTCGTGCGGCGCGGAATATGTCGAGAAATGCACGCCCAGCGCCAAGATGTTGAACAGCACGGCCAGAAAGTCGACGTCGGCGTTGGCCGGGTCCTGCCAGAACTCCTTGTACTTGCGCGAGAACGACGGTCGATGGATGGTGTCTGGGACGTTAGTGTTGGTTCTCATAGGTCTCTCTAGTTATCCAGATACACATAAGCTGCACCCCCCACCCCCGTAAACTCACGCTGCGTCGGCGTGTTGGATCCAAAGTACCGCGCAATCAGCCGGTCCACCACAAACCGTGGCGGCATTACTGCCAGCAGC